GGAAGGGAAGGGAAGGGAAGGGAAGGGATGGCACCTGCAGGTCCCTGTCATGGGGTGGTGGCACTTGGTGATCAGCACTGACTGGGGGATGTGGGTCTGAGCAGTGCTCAGGGACATCCCCAGCCAGGAAAAACATCCCTGCCCCACTACCCCAGCCAGGCTGGAGAAAGCACTGAGGAGGAGGAGGATGATTCAGGACAGCCTGGACATGGCCCTGTCACTGCCATGGCCCTGTCACTGCCCCCTGATCCTGTCACAGCCCCCTGTCACTGCCCCTGGCCCTGGCACTGCCCTCAGCCAACAGCAGCCCCACAGTGACCTGGCCCTCCATGTCCTGCTTGCTGGACCCACTGGAGCAAACAGACCAAGGACAGCCCTCCTGCACCTCTCCTGCACCTCTCCTGCACCCCCTGCACCTCTCCTGCACCTCTCCTGCACCTCTCCTGCATCCCTCCTGCACTTCTGCACCTCTCCTGCACCCCTCCTGCACCTCTCCTGCACCCCTCCTGCATCCCTCCTGCATCCCTCCTGCACCCCTCCTGCATCCCTCCTGCCTGCATCCCTCCTGCATCCCTCCTGCACCCCTCCTGCATCCCTTCTGCACCTCTCCTGCACCCCCTGCACCTCTCCTGCACCCCTCCTGCATCCCTCCTGCATCCCTCCTGCACCCCTCCTGCACCCCTCCTGCATCCCTCCTGCAGCCTCTCCTGCAGCCCCTCCTGCACCCCTCCTGCACCTCTCCTGCACCCCCTGCACCTCTCCTGCACCTCTCCTGCATCCCTCCTGCACCCCTCGGTCCTCCTGGCCGTGCCAGGGCCCCGCGGTGCCCAGGGCAGGGCAGGAGCAGACAATATTTTGCAGAGCGGTGACTCCTGATGGTCCTCTGACAGCAGAGCCGTGGGATTTCTGGGGGAGGGAAGGAGGGAGGGAGCCGGGCGAGATGTGCACAGTCACGGCAGGAAAAGCGCCTGGCAAATGAGAGAGGAGCAGCTCCGAGCCGGGAGAGCCGAGGCTGCTCCCTCCAGGGCGGGGAGAGAGGCAGAGGCACCAGCAGCTGCTGAATCCGAGGCCGAGAGCGATGGGAAAACCTCAGGGAGCGTTCCCAAAACGCCTCCTCTGCACAACTCCCCGCCCGGCTGGGCAGCAGGTTCATCACCAGAGCCAAACACTGCTTGGGGGGGATGTTACGTGTTTAATGAGCACTAAAAATGTCACCCCGGCTAACAATTCCTGCCTCCAGCCGTGGGTTAATGACACAGTTGTACCCTCTGGAAATGCCACCAGCCCGGGGTGGCACCAGCCCTGCTGGCCCTGCCACGAGGGGGGACCGAGGAATTGCTGCTGCCAGTGCCAGGCCCCAGGTGGGGTTGGGGGGCCCTGAATGATTTCCTGAGACACAAAACCCTTGGCAAGCTCCCAAAACGAGGCACCCCATGAATTCAGCATGTCCTGATGGTGCCAAACCCCTCCGAAGGGCTGGAGAAGCAGCCCTGATGTCACAGCCTGCTCTCTGTGTCCCCAGCACGGCTGTGGCACAGCCCAGGGCAGGCTCTGCTCCAGCAGGGTGTGAAACGAGTCTCACAACGACCCAGATTTCATTTTGGGAGCACCCAGAGCATTTCCTGACCCCATCACGAGCCCGTGAAAGGTTTGGGCTGATCCATAGGGTCAGGAAGGGCAATTCCACAGCCAACCCCAGCCAGCAAAGCTCCCTCTCTCCCTTGCACAGGGATTCAGGAGCCCCCAGCTCGGTGTTCCCGAGGCTGCAGCAGGATCTCTTCAGCTCCCAGCACAGGTTTTTGGTTTTTTTTTCCCCCACCTCAGGGAGCGTTTTCCCAAATCTCTCGCATCAAGGAGGAAAATGATAATCAGGCCAAGTCAGACTTGCAAATCTAATCATTAAAAACCCAAAGGCCCGAGGGGACAAGGTGAGGATGTGGAGGAGGCGAGGATTATCCCACAGCAGCCTCCAGATCCCCTCGTCTCCTGCAGGGAGCAGGAGTTTTGTGTCCCCGAGGAGCTCATCCTGTGCTGCTCTCTGAGCAACAAGAGGCGGCAGTGACAAGTGAAGTGTCCTGAGAGCTCCAGAAAGCTCCAGGAGTCGGGAATTTGGGGGCAGGGACAGAACAGGGCCGTCCCTGGGAGCTGGTGACAGGAGAATAAAAGGCTCCCATCTCCTCAGCCCTGCAGGAATGGGGTGGATCACGCTGGGAGGAGCCTGCCCAGCACAGCTCCAGTTTGCCCAGTGCCCTCCTCATCTCTGCCCACACCACTGGGATCAGCCCCAAACCCTGGGAACAGAAGCAAGTTTTCAAAAAGACACAAAAATGCCGTTCCTGAATTCAAAAATCCCAACACCAATCTGGGGCACTCTGGGGCTTCTGTCACCGGCGTGTGCAGGACTTTAATTTCACAATTCGAGCCTGAAATGCAGCAAAATGGGGAAGGAAAGTGAAATGCGGGTGGACAGAGCTCACCCCTGGAGCTGGCAGTGCCAGGAGTGGGAATTATCCCAAAATTTCACCTCCCCTTCACGTATCCGAGCCCAGGCTGGTCCTCCCAGCACTCCCATCCCATCGGGAGCTCCTGGGAATATTTTCCAGGTGATTCCAGGCAAGAGGAGTCCTCAGGGCTCGCTGTGCTCCTGGAGCCCCCCCAGCAGCACCAGGGGCTCAGGGGGGCTCAAACCCCTAGCCCAGACATACAAAACCCCCTGGAAAAGCTGCATTTCCTGGGAAATGTCACCCAGGGAGCGTCACCGGGGAGCAGCAGCCTGAGGACAACCTCAAACCACATTTTCTGGGGGGCTGCTCCCCCAGCCCCGGCTCTGCACCCCCAAAAACCCAAGGAAGGGACCCACAGCAATCCCAGGGCTCCGGGGCAGAGCAGCAGATCCATTCCTCCATCCCCCGGAGAGCCTGGCAGGATCAAACTTCCTATTTCCTTCAAATCTCGCACAAGAGGGAATTTTGGAGCTGAAGGGACAGACCAGCACTAAAATCCCTCCTCCCAGTGCTCCAGGAGCAGGGAGCAGCACCCAGCAGCTTCTCTGGGAACAGCAGAACCTGGATTTAGGTACCACCACCCATTCCTGCCCCAGACCCCTCATGAGTCACCCAGACCGATTTAATCCAAAGGAAGCAGCAAAATCTGCATCCCTCAAGGCGCCAGGAATCCCACTCAGCCCTCAGCCAGGCTCCAGGGATGCTCCACAGCAGCTTTCCATCTCCTAACTGGAAAAGATGACCTGGCCACTGCTCCTCCCTGCCTGGCACCGAGGCCCCGAGGGCGGCGTAATTTGATTTATAAAGCCTTGGCAGGACAGCTCAATCCATCCATCCCTGAAGAAGGGATTGTACCGGAGCTCCTGGAGCCTGAACAATTATTATTCCCACACATTTGGAGGCTGCAAGGCTCTGAGTAACACCCCCACAACACTCACAGGCTCCAAATATCCCAAATATTCCCTCCTGCCTGCCTGGCAGGGCTGTCAGTCCCCAGTGGGGCTCACAGGCACTCCACAAATCCCTTTTCCTCCAAAATCCCAAACCCTGGCGTCACAACCAGCACCGAACACGCTTTTCCTCCCCTCAAAGCTCAGAGTTAAAAGTTCGGGAACCTCCAAGCACAAAACCCCCCCCGATGGATTTGGCGGAGCTTTGAGAAGGAGCCGGCAGCAGGAATTCTTCATTTTCCTTCCCCACTCCTCCAAACATATGCGAGGCAGCCCGGGGGCTGGCAGAGGCTCTGCTGCTGAGCCAGCACTGGCGGAGAGGTGGCAGAGCAGCAGCGAGGTCCCCACGAGCTGTCCCCAATCCCCCGAGCCCCTCTCGCCCCCTCCTCCCCGGCCACAGCTCCACGTCCCCCGCCGGAGACTCAACACCCTCTCCAGGGCTGCCCTCAGCTCGCAAATGTTCAACACCGAGCGGGTTTAAAGGAGGTTTTTAAAGGATTCCTGGGGAGTTCTGCCGTCCCCAGCCCAGCCCCACTCGCGGTGCGTGGATCACACACACACGGAGCTGACACGTTACATCACCGCCCCGAGAAGCGGTGACAACGTAAATAATCAGCTGATCCCCGGAGCTGTCACCCAGCCCCGAATCAAACGCCTCCCTGGCAATCTTCAGCCTTGAGCCAGCGTGGATTATTTATTAACAACACATCCTGGACACGGGGCTGGCTGAGAATCCCTGCTGGGGGCTCTCGGCGGCTTCTCAAGGTCCCTGCTGACCCCCCGAGCCCCTGGCCCGGTGTCCCCCCACCTCAGCCAGACCACGAGGACCACTCGCATCCCTCCACGTGTTCTCCCAAACTCCTGGAAAACGCGGCGCTGCCACCATTTCCGACGCCGAGGTTATTAAAACACGCTTCCAAAAATAATTTTTTGGCGATAAACAACCAAGGTTAAGGGAAAAAAAAAATAATAAAATAATAATAATAATAATAAAAAACCCTCTCGGGAAGTTCTGGCTGGAACTTCACGCTGAGGCTGTCGCTGCGCGGGGCTCCAGGGAGCGGAGACTCCTCTCCAAGGGGATGGAGCCGCACCGGGAGCGGAGCGGCGGCTTCCGTGGGGAGCGGAGACCCCTCCCCTCCCAGGCCGAGACAGCTGCGGACCCTCCGCGACGCCCCCCGAGCTCGATTCCACTCGGGAATGGTTTTTCCCCACGCGGCATCCCCGGCTCGGCCCCGCAGCCCCGGGAAGGGGCGGCCGGGCTCAGGGAGGGGGGTCTGGGGGGAGCGCTGAGTTTGCCAGGCTCTTACGTCCTCTTGAAGACCCCTCCGAGGCAGCTGCCGAGCAGGAGGCAGAACTGCTGCGAGAAGAAGACCCAGGTGATCTGCGAGAGCGAGCTCTGGGTCTGGCAGCGCAGGTCCAGCAGCGTGGGCCCCAGGAAGGCGATGCAGAGGCCGAAGCTGAAGAAGACGCTCCAGTAGGTGAGGGTGGGCTGCAGGTTCCTCCGGAACCGCGCCGACACCCGCTCGTCCCACCACATGGTGCGCGGTGCTGGCGGCGGCGCGGGGCGGCCCCGCTGCTGGAGCTCCGGCGCTGGGCTCCGGCCCCGCCGCCGCCCCGCTGCCGTGCCCGGCCCCGCTCCTCCTTTGCGGGATGTGGCTCCCGATCCCGCCGCGCCGGGAGCTGGCTCCGCCTCCGGGGCCGGGCGGAGCGGGGCCCCGCTCCATCCCCGCCGCCCCCGGAGCCGCCCCGCCGGAGCTCGGCGCATCCCTCGGGCGCTGAAAGCAGCGTCGTGTGTCCCTGCTCATCCTCACCCTCACCCTCACCCTCACCCTCATTCTCATTCTCATCCTCATCCCCATCCTCACCCTCATCCTCACCCTCATCCTCCTCCTCACCCTCACCCCTCCCAGCTGCCCCCCGCGGGGGTCGCATCCTCCTCCCAAAAGCGGGCCGACCCCTGTTGGCGATCCGCGCCCCCTCCCCGCATTAAAGCACGGCTACACCGAATGGAACAGAGCTCGGCCGAGGCAGCAAATCCAGAAATCCAATTTTTTTTCCTTTCCTCCCTGCTGCCAGCCCTGCCCGCGGTCCCCCGTGGCACCGAAAAGGTGCCACCGTGCCCGACAAACGCAATTAAAGTTGCCCCTTCCCCGGATGAGCAGCACAAGCTGCCTCGGGGCGGGGGGAGGGCGCGGGTTTTGAAGCCGGAGCGGTTGATGCTTACGCAAAAAGGTCTTCTCTAGAGGATGGGTTTATAAATATTTCACCTACTTTAGCTGGGGGAAGGCTGGCAATTTTTAGAACACTCTTTCCAGGCAGAGCAGAGCCGGCGGAGCTCGGCCATGACGGAGAGCTGGCTGCAGGTGCTCACCCATCCTGTGACCCGTGCCTCTGGAATGCCGCGGCTGCTCATTCCCACCTGGCCACAGCTTAATGTTTAGCCAAGCCCAAATTGCATCCCAGCCCTTGTTCCGCCGTGCCATCCTGCCCGCAGAGCGCCATCACCACCCCTGCAGCCACCGCGGGGCACAAAGGGGCTCTGACGCGTGATAATCGCACCCAAACCACCCCAAACTGCCCCAAATTCGGGGTTTCTGAGGCTGCCGGGAACCTGAAGCTATTAAAGAATTAAAGAGCTGCTGGAGAGCCCGGAGGGCCGGGAGCGGTGTCCTCATCCGGCTGCCTGATGGGGACAGCGAGGGCCGGGCTGGAATGAGGCTCCTGGACAGGGAATGAGTCAAGGGCACGGGAGGAAATCGGGATTTATCATCTATCATTTATCATTTATCATAAACACCTCCCAAACCGGCCTGGATGGGGCTGCTGAGCCACAGCCCGGGGCTCTCCCTGCCAGGGAAAATCTCCATTTGAGGCCGCGCTGCTGCAGCAGCCTCTGCTTCCCTTCCCCGTCCCTACACGGAGGGTGGAGGAGAAAAGATTGGGATAACAAAGCTTTTCCATCCAAAACTGCTGGGAAAGGCGGACAGGAACACCTGGACACGTTCCTGTTCCTGTGTCACCCGCTCCAGGTGACCCTGGCTGCGTGTTCTCCACAGCTCTTTTCCAACCCAAACAATTCCATGATTCTGCGATGTCCCCGCTCCCTTTTCCATCCGTCTCCCTGTGCGTGGAGCTGATGGAGGAGCTGATCCTCATCTCCCTCGCTCCAAGGGCTCTGCCCCCAAAAAAAACCACTGACAAAGCTTTTCCTGGGCCACATTCCAGATCTTTATCTGGAGATCAAGGAGATCCAGGGAGCTGGGAGACCTGAACTCACCGCTCCATCCCCCTCTCCAGCTCTCCAGGGCTCCAATTCCCAACCCTAAAACGGCTCAGCAATGCCCTCCCCACCTCTGCAGACACCAAGGTGACAAAAATTAACCCAAGCCCTCCCCACAGCCACACCGAGTGACCTGGATGCTCCCAGGAATATCGGGATGCCAGCTCCCGGGAATATCAGTCCCTTCCATCAGGACTGACACAAACCATGCAGGATCTGCTTGCAAATAAGCCCCGAGGCGTGGGTGGGTTTAGTCAGCACAGGAACGCACAGATCCCTCCTGCTTCCACAGAAATGCAGCTCCTCTCCCCGGAGGGAGCTCATCAAAATGCGAGCCCCAGGGCTCCGAGGAGATGCAAGCCCCGAATTAGCTCCACGAGGAGGCACTTCCAGGCTGTTTTCCAAACTCCAATCAATGTTGTGCTTGAGCTGAATTAAAACACCCCCAGTCCTGCACTTGCTGCAGGCTGCAGTGAAACCATGAATGAGGGGAGGGCAGAGCTGCAGCCACCGCGTCCCTGGAGAGCTCCAAAGGGTCCAGGTGGCCTTTGGGAAACAACTTTCCCTTCGTTTTTCCATGCCCTCACACATCCCTGGGGCAGAAAGGATTTTTTTTTATGTATATAAAGTAATTTTTCCAACCAGAGGAGCAATTTTTTATCATGCTGGGTCCTGCTTGCAGCGACTGCAGGGCTCCAACCCCGATTTGTTGTGCTGCTGGAATCGCCTCTCTCAGCCCAGGTTCAGCACAGTGGGGAAATCCAGCTCTAAATATAAATTTTCCAAGGGTTTCCTTGGGGTGGAACCACCTGAGGCCCCACAGGACAGCAGATTCCTGGAGCTCCTCCAAGGCTTTCCCCAATGTTTGGGTTGGCAGCTTGGCCAAGGACTCGGAGCTCAGATATTGGTAAAGTTTTCCCTGTCCCCCTTTAGGGCAAATTGGTGCTGAGAGACCCCTAAAACCCCAAGAGTTCCCCCAGCAGCCACATGTGATGGGACCAGGAGCTCCGTGTGAGATGGGATCAGCCAAAAACCCCAACAACACCCAAAGCTTGAGCTGATAAGAAAATAACTCTGAACCTGGCGGAGGAAATCCTGGGAAAGCTCCGTGTGAGGGGTGAGACTGCTCCTGGCTGCGGGAAAGGTGCTCAGCAGTGCAGAGAGAGAGAAAGGGGTGTTCACCTCGTGTGTTTTGGGGTCAGGAGTTCCCAAACGGGCTGGGTGCTTTGGGGAGGGAGCTTGGCTCCAATTCTAGGTCAAGCACGAGCCCGGAGTCTCGGCCCAGTTGTGGCAGAGCTCGCCAGGCTTGTCTGGAAGGAGGAAGTTCTGCCCTCCTGGGTCCCCTCCCAGCTGAAATAACTCCCACACCCACTCCCCTGGAGCTTCCTCCTCTCCTAAATCCGTACCAGGATGGGACAGCCAGGGACAGAGGGACACCCAAATCATCCCTCTGAGGGCAGCAGGTGTCACCCCAGGGGACCCTGGAGCATCCCGAGGGGGCTACTGGGGATATTTGGGAACATCTGGAAGGCGGGAGGGGATGCCGGGGGCATTCCCCGGATCCGGGGCTGCTGGGGATATTTGGGAACATCTGGAAGGCGGGAGGGGACGCCGGGTGACATTCCCCGGACCCGGCGCTGCCAGGTGCAGGAATGAGGGTGGCACACGGAGGAACTGGTTTGGAGAACAGGCCCTGCCTGGGGAGCTGCCCTCGGCCGGGACGTGACTCAGGCTGGGCGGGGATGGAGGGATCCGTCCTCTTCCCAAATCCCGGCTCCAAAGAGCCCAGAGATCCCCCAGAGCTCACTCCAGCTGTTCCCAGCTCCCCACATCGCCGGGGGCTGCGGGTTCCCTGCAGGAATATCCCGAGGGGACTCCCCAGAGCTGCCCATCCCCGATCCAGGGGGATTGGAGCCGCTGGATTTGTGGGAAAAGTCTCCCTCGTCCCTTCCCCAGCCTGGGCTGGGCCTGGCAGCTCTGGCTTTTATTTGCCCGATAGGGTTGTGCCAATATTTGTTCAGGGCCTTGGGATCCCTGCAAGGGACACCAGGGACGTTTTCCTGGGGCGTTCCCAGCTCCTGCAAAGCTCCTCTCCTTGGGAAGGTCAAAATTCCAGCAGGGAAAGGGCCCTGGAGCTGCAGGGAAAGCAGATGTGGGGATGGAGGGTGGAGGTGGAATGACCCAGCTGCTTTTCCCACCTTCCTTCCACTCCAAAAAACCCCCAGATCCTTCTCCTGTTTAAAAATAAACAGATTAACAGATTAAAAATTTATATTTATATTTATATTTATATTTATATTTATATTTATATTTATATTTATATTTATATTTATATTTATATTTATTTTTATTTTTATTTTTATTTTTATTTTT